TTGACGGAAGTTCGGAAGTTGTTCTTCAAAGCAGGGTTGAAGCCAGAATGTAATACTCAATCTATGACAGGGACAGAAAGTAATTAGGAAGTTACAATTATAGGGGTTAAAGTGCTAACATTCAAAAACTAAGGGTGGCAAGGAAAATCAAATTAACTGGGGATATATTGATATTTTTCTATATGAATTTTAAAAATAAAAAAAAATTGTGGGACTAGGGTAAACGTAACTCCTCCCGCTTTTAAAGTTTTATATAATGAGTTTGTATATATAATATTATTTTAATGTTTTTTCTTCAATGTTAATAGCCCGTTATTCATATTATAAATACATACAACTTGAAAGTTTTATATAATGAGTTTGCTTACATAACATTACTCTAATGTTTTTTTTCAATGTTAATAGCCAGTTATTCGTATATAAACAAGCCGCGATAAGGAATCAAAGGAACAAAAACTTCCTGGTAATATAAATTACTAAACTTTGAAAGACAAAGACAAATATTCTATTATGCATCAACAACTTAAACATATTAATAATCAACTAGGCTTATCATATTATTAATAGTGAATCAATTTATCATGTTTACTTTGCAAGGATGATTTGTCATTTATTCAATGGTTCTTGGGAATGAAATAGGTGACTGTATATTTAGCTATTAAATCACTAAAATACCCTTTTGCATCTTAAGTGGATAATGATGTCCGTGCGTCTTTTTTTTTTTTTTTTTTTAAATCGAATTTCTGTTTACTAGTGTCAATAAACACTAAATGATGAAAATTTACAATTTTCAATAGACGATATTATATATGAATTTTTTTTCTTCTAAATAATTAAGGTGATCCAAATTAAAAAAGAAAAATGCTAATATTAGAGAATATTCCGATCAGAATAAATACCCACCCGACATAATGGCAACACATCAAGTATTATTATATCGGTTGATCTGTAAGATATGTTAAACATCATATTGGTATTAATATCTACCAATAAATTTCACATTCAAATTTCATGATGTACTGTTCAATATATGACGAGTCTCATACATAACTGCTATGTACATGCATTTGATATATTATTATTAGTTATTTTTGTTCTTTAATTTTAGCATCAATCTTGCAAAATAGCAACCAATATTAATAAATCAATCAATCATATATTCATATGAATCACTTAAACACATATGCATCAATAATAAATCAATCATTAGGCTTTACATTCAAAACCTAAAAAGAAATTAAACAAGAACAGCAAACTATCTTGGCTTATTTTACCCTTCACAAAAATATATAAATAAACAAATTGATGAAGATAATGAAAAGGTTTATTCATTAGACTGATCATTAGGAGGAGATTCTTGCGCAATAATCTCTGTAATCGCCATTGAAATCCTATAAAAGGATGTCAACTATTGGTTCAAACCAATATTTCTGGAACTTTAATCCTAGCAGAAGCCATTGCTTTTTCACAGTTCTCATATTCAGCTCCCGCCAGGGCTGCATCATAGCTAGCTGTCTGAGGATCTTTGAGTTCTTGGGACAAAACTTTGAACTCTGCAACCGCCACGTTATATTCATCCAAGCAACCTTGAACAACTTTCTTCAATTCAAGTTGATCTTGTACGTTCCTTAACAAAACCCTAATTTGTTTGCGACAATCACCGTGTCGATCTGGCAGGTAGCCACATAGTGGCTTGTAGGTTCAATTGAACCCATTGAATTTTTCAAAAATTTTAAAATAGTATTAATAGTTTATAGATTTTACAATTTTAACCTCACTTAATTTTATGTTAACCCCACAAAATAAATTATTAATTAAAACTTTTTAAACTTTTCTTTTTTCTTTATTTCCTCTATTTTGCTCTCATATTATATTTTTCTTTTGGTTGGATACTCAAGAAAGGCTACTCCTTTGGATTACAAGATAAGATGATACTAATTTTATTTTTATTTTTTTTACTTAAAATTAATTCTTTTCTTTTAGTTTTCTTAATTGATGAAAGCACATGAGTTATGAGTTTTTATTGAGTTTAATAAATAAGTTTGAAATGATTCATAGATTTTGATGTGGGTTTTGATTTAATCTTGTTTATGTTGAGGTATAGGTTAATTAATTATTGTTTTAAGTTGGGTTTGATAAATTGTGGTTAGTTATTGAGTTAATTTTGAATATGGTTTAAAGAATTGATGAAACCTTAAATTGTAGAAATTTGGGGATTTGGTTTAATTTCGATATATTGGTTACTTGCTTGATATTTAGAGTTAGATTTGATGAGTTTTCATGGGTTTATGAGTTGAATTTTATTGGGTTAGTGGAAATTGTTTGAAAAACCTAAATTATGAGTTGAATTTTGATAAATTTGTGTTATTTTTTTAATTGTAATAATAAATTATATTTCTGATAATAAAAATTCTTTTATTTTTTTTAATTATGGACAAGTTTTTTATCAAAAGAAAGTTTTCTAATGAGGAACCATCAATTGAATAAAACATAAGGTGTCACGATAGTGTTCACAATGAATCTATCGAATCTAGTTCAAGACAAACATATGTTAAGCTTAACTTGAGTAGTCTTCCTATAGATCCTGGATTGAGGATTAAAATTTTAGAATATCATCATAATGATAGAGACAAAGTGAGAAAGACATACTTGCAAAAAGGACATTACCAACCATACAATCATAATTTTAAAAAGCGAGCAATTGAGAATTTAATGCGTCGTTTTAATCCCATTTGGTTTAGAGAATATGCAAATTGGTTGGAGTATAGTGTAGAAAAGGAAGGTGTTTTTGTTTGTGTTGTTATCGTTTTAGATATGAAATTAGCATTGATGTTACCTGTTATAACTGCAAGTGTTGAAAGAGCATTTTCAGCGATGAAGATTGTGAAAAATTGACTACAGGATCGAATGAGAGATCAATTGATAAATGATTGTCTTATTACATATATTGAAATAGAGATATTTGATGGAATTATAAATGAAGCAATTATGCAGCGTTTTCAGAATATGAAGAATCGTCGAGGACAATTATAGAATTGATAATTTGGTATATATAACTTTTACAAGTACATTTTTTATGCTTATTATTTCAGTATATATTTTATTGTAAATTTATCAACTTTGATATTTTGAACTCACTAACTCAGAATCCTGGCTACGTCCCTGGTGTACGTCGATCATCGCCAGTTGAAGAACAGCGGTCGTGAGAGCCAAAGAGTTTGATTGTGAAGCACTTTGGGGATATGATTGAAGAACGTTAATGCAAAATTCATAGTCGTTTGTTTTGTTAAAAATGTTGCTCAGCAAATTAGGGTTTGATTCTGCTCGCGTTGATGGAGCAGAGAGGAGAAAGAGGAAGAAGAAGAGTGTAATAAACATTCTCAAATGATTAAGAGAAACCATTAATAATTGTCGCAAATTAATGAAATTAAAATGCTGATGATTAATTGTTGAGTTTAATTAGAGGTGGGCGCTCTCTTGTTTGTTCTTACATACAGCGAAAGAAGCTAGGTAGGGCGTTTCTGTTGAGTATCCAGCTAACTTGAACTGATAATGTTAATTAATAATTATTAGTGATACTAATTTGTTTTAATAACTAATTAAAAATTCTATTCCCCACCACAAATGACATAAATGGTAGTGATGTTTAGGGTTGTTTAAGGTAGTGATAAAAGATATAATTTTTTTTTTTTTTTTTTTGGGATAACCAGGTGTTCGGGCCAGCTTGCACGTATCTCAATTAATCCGTAAGACTCATTGAACACCCTACAAACCTAATGTTTCAAGTAAGTCACAAATGTGATAGATGACTCAAGGTTATTTAAACTCAGGAAGTAAACAAAATGAGCAAACCTTCGTGACCATGACGTCAACCCCTTGGGGTTAAAAAGATTTAATTTTCCACTTGTCTCTAACAAAATTGCTAAATTATAAGTTTCTAATGAGTAATTAATTAGTTAAAGTGAAATATAGTTAGAGAATGAATTTAATTAGAATATATGGATACTGCACACATAACATAAGATAGAAGATGCTTAATTTAGAATACCAAAACATAATTAATTAGAAAAGACCAATATAAAAAAAGAATCAAATTGTATGATATGGTTTGATAGTTAATTATATAATAAATCAATATGTTTATACATATTTGGAATGCATGTTTTCCTCTAATCTATTTCAACAATTTAATATAATTTGTGATTCTTTTTTATTTAGTGGATCTCTATCATCTATATCTTTTCATTAAATTAAGACAGTCAACTAGTGAATCCCGTTTATCAATTTAAGTATTAGAATCTTCTAACTTTTCCATTATACAATTTCGTCCCAAACACCAGACACCTGCCAATAGAGATAGATATTAATTTGGGAAATTGATAAATAATTCGATTAGCAATTTATGTATTCAGGGATTTGATTTGGTTAAAGCTAATTAATTAATCTTTTGCCTTGTCTATTACTCTATTTTATTTTTAATTTTATAACTATCGTGAATACGAATAGACACAGATCGTGTCATTATTCATATACCAAATTAATAGAATTAAATATTTCACATCCTCAATACCAATAATTAACCTCAATAATAAATAAATAAATAAATATTTCCTGTAAAAAACGTTGATGTCAAAAGGATAAAATTGCTTCTGGATGATATAGTGGTTCGATAGGGACTCTTAATTATATTACTTAAGAGGTTCTGAGTTCGAATCTCTCCTAAATTACTAATAAAAGTAACTATTGAAGCTCTCCCAAGGGATTAATTAAGGCGCGCTTAAATTAACCCGGACACCCCGTTCATATAAAAAAAAAAAAAAAATTTGTCAAAATGATACACTTTCTCCATGATTGAATAGTTGTATAACCAAAATCGGATAGAAAACCAATAGCTGATGGAATCAAACAGCAATTATTTCTTGGCATTACATAATCAAACCAAACTTTCCGGGAAAATTATTTCATTATGCATCAAATTCAGATTAAACAAAATGATGAATTCAGCTTATCATATTGGTAACAGCAAATCCAATGTCACTATAAATCGTCACATAATTATTTCTAGTCCTAATCGAATCCACATCATGAGATTGAAACCCTCCAGATTTCAGCTTCTCTCCACAATAATATGCACCATCAGAAGCAAATTTTGCGTCATAATTTGCCGTCAAAGGATCATCATCCACTTCGTTCAAAGCACTTCTGAATGACAAAAGCACAACGCTTTGATACTGCAAAACGCAGTACTCGAGGGCCGATTTCAATCCAGGCGAAGAGCCTTCATTCTTCGCCATTTCGTCGATGTACTTTTCGCTGCTTGTGGAATTAGATACAGCCAACTTTAGCGCGATCTTCGCCAGGGCTTTTGCGTCCGTCGCGGACGAGGATTTTGGGTCCAACGCGAGAGCGGCTACACAGTCGTTGTAACTACAAAGGGTAGTTTTTTGGCAAACCTTATTGACTAAGCTGGATGGAGCGTCGTTGTTCGTTGCCGGGACGGCGGTGGCAGGCGAAGGTGAGTGAAGAAGTAAGAAGAAAGAAATGGATAATAGTTGTGTTATGATAGTCAATGGAGGAGAATTGCGATGGGAAGCCATTGAAGTTTTTAGGAATGGAAATGAAGAATTGAATTTTTGGGTGCATGCATGGTTAATTTTAGCTGTTGCTTGAGTTTAAAGGGGTAAGGGATTTTTTATTTTAATGAGGAGAATCAGTGGTTGAAAAAAGAATATACAAGTAATAAAGTTTTGGGTTGTATTTGGAAGGTTTCAAGAACATGCTATTAATGTTATTATGAATTAATAACAAAGGACCATAATTTGCCAATTTTTAATTAGAAAATATATTCTTGTAATCTAGATAAACATTTATGTATCGATGATTGCATATTGAAAATGTGACAAATAAATAACTTTCAACTAAAAATAAATTAAAAGGCAATACTATACTTACCATTCAATTTCACAAATTTTTTCTCACAAGTCCAACGAGACAGTTCACGATTGGTTTCTGATGAATTTTCTTGTCTGACTAATAATGAGCTAACCAATCACGAGCTTTCATGTCAAGATTGTGAGAAAAAATTTGTGAAATTGGATTGTAAGCCGATCTTTATTCTAAATTAAAATGTGTTGAGCCCTTGGATTGGGTACAATATTCTTTTATGAAAGTCGATCCAAAGGCTAAAGTACTAAACACAAAAAATGAAAAAAAAATAAGAAAGTCTTTTCCCTCTTGGGCAAAATGACAAAGAGATCAGAACCTGTTCAATGAAATCTTGAATTTAATAAGCCCACATCTTTTTAAAAAATAGTACGGTAATATGCCAGGTGAACAATTATCACTAAATGATCTGGTGGTAAAAAAGCAAAATAGAATTTAACATGGTCTCCCAAGTTGAGTCTCTACAAAAATCAGACTTAACTTAGTCTCCTAAGTTCGAGTTCTCATGGCCCCTAATAAGGGTAAGGAGTGGTCACTGGAGCTCTTATCGATCAATAGTTCCAAAAAAAAAAAAAAAAAATGAGCTACTACAGATGTCTTTATATGTTTTTTTTAATAATTACAACTCTACGAAATCTTCAGTACATTTTCACCAATATCTGAATCATCTTCTTTGATAGAAGTCCAGAAGTTGTTCTTCAAAGTAAGGGTAGAGCCAGAATGTAATACTCAATGAATGACAGGGCCAGAAAGTAATTAGGAAGTTACAATTACAGGTGTTAAAGTGTTACATTCAAAAACTAAGGGTGGCTAGAATTCAAATTAAATTAACAAGGAATAAATTGATATTCTTCTATATTAATTTTAAAAAAAAAAAATGTGGGACTAGGTTAAATGTAGCTCCTACCAGCTTTGAAAGATTTATATAATGAGTTTGTATATATAANCTAAATCATCTTCTTTGATAGAAGTCCAGAAGTTGTTCTTCAAAGTAAGGGCAGAGCCAGAATGTAATACTCAATGAATGACAGGGCCAGAAAGTAATTAGGAAGTTACAATTACGGGTGTTAAAGTGTTACATTCAAACACTAAGGGTGGCTAGAATTAACATTAAATTAACAAGGAATAAATTGATATTTTTCTATATGAATTTATAAAAAAAAAAAAAAATTGTGGGACTAGGTTAAATGTAGCTCCTACCAGCTTTGAAAGATTTATATAATGACTTTGTATATATAATATTACTCTAATGTTTTTCTTTAACGTTAATAGGCAACTATTCATATTATAGATATTGACAACTTGAAAGTTTTATATAATGGGTTTGTATACATAAAATTACTCTAATGTTTTTCTTCAACATTAATAGCCAGTTATTCGTATATAAACAAGTCGTGACAAGGAATCGAGGAACAAAACTTCCTAGTAATATAAATTACTAAACTTTCAAAAACAAATATTCTATTATGCACCAACACCTTAAACATATTAATAATAAACTAGGCTTATCATATTAGTAACAATAAAGATACGTTGACAAACCCTTCTCACTAACTTTCTCTTACAAATACGACGTGTCAGCTCGCAATTGATCAGGTGAGACTTATTTTGGGCAGGCAAGGCTTATTGTCAGCTGGTCAATTATGAGTTGTCACGTCACATTTATGAGAGAAAGTTAGGAATAAGAGTTTGTGAGTGCACAAATACGACGTGTCAGCTCACAATTGATCAGGTGAGACCCATTGTTGGGCAGGCAAAGCTTATTGTCAGCTGACCAATTATGAGTTGTCACGTCGCGTTTGTGAGAGAAAGTTAGGAATACCCTATGGGTGCATTTGGTTCAGGGAATGTTGTATTACTGGGAATGTTATATTAATGGAAAGTTAGATTACCTTGAAGATTACTGGGAATGTTTAGGGAAATGTGTGTAGTTAGGTTGGAATAAATTGGTGGGTATGTTAGATTAATACGTTTGGTTGGGAGGATAAATGGCTGGATATGTTATAAAGATTACTAAATTTCCCTCCTTTTTAAATATGAATATAATATTATTTATATTATTATTTTTTGAATAGTTTCTTTTAACCCCCTATCTTTGAGATATTACAAAAACACTTCAGCAACCAAAAAAAGTTTAAAACTTAACAAAAACACCCCCACCCACTCCAAGCCACTGCCGGTCGCTTGCCACCATTGCCAATGGCGTCAAAAGTGACCGTAACGGCACACTATCAATTGGATCTGACAGACCGTGCTCTAATATGGCATGGATCTAACCGAAAATGGTCAGATATCTGGTCGTTAACGGTTTGGTTGTTAACAGCTAAATATCTGGTCGTTAACGGCCAAAAGTTGTAGATCTGGTCAGAAATGGCCAAAATAGATCTGGTCATTTTCGATTAGATCTACGGTCATATCAATGCACGGTGGTCATTTTCGGCAACTTTAGGTGGCATCTTGCAGTGGTTGGCCAACTGATGACGGTGGTGGCTGGTCAGCAATGGTGGTCTTGGGTGGCCTGCAATTTGTTTTAAATATAAAGACATTATTATCCAAAAAATTAATTAAATAGGGGTAAAATTTTAATGGCAGATTAATGAATATTAATTTCAAAATAAGGGCATTATTGTCCAAAATTTTCATTAACAAGGGTTAAAATTGTAGCAAAAATAAGATTACCAAATAATCTTAAAATACATAAAAAAATGGACTTTCTATATTACCAATAGTAACTACTATTGGTTTTAGAATATTACCGAAATCTTATATTATTTGGCAACCAAACGTGATAATCAAATAATAAAATATGACATTACCTCAATAATTAAAGATTATCCCCAACCAAACACGCCCTATTAGTAATAGCGAATCCAATGTCACTATAAATCTTCATGTAATTATTTCTAATCAAACTGAAGCAAGCAACATATAAGACCCTTTAGAACTCAACTTCTCTTCACAGTAATGTACACTAGGGGTGTTCAAAACCGATTTTCTTGAATGGAACTGGTTTTCTTGAATCGAACCGGTTTTCCAGTTTATGAATTTTTTTGAACTGAAACCAAACTGGTTTAAGGGAATGTTAACCGGTTTTCCCCTTAAGGCTTAAACTAATTTTGTTTTTTTCCCTGATTTGAATTGTAAACATCAAGAGTACATATCTAAATAAAAATTAAACATTCATACATATGTAAAGGGGATTTAGGTATAGGGATTTTTTTTATATTTTAATTTAATATATAATATATTAATATATATATTATTACAATATTGTAAACCGGTTAGGAAAATCTGTTTGCATTTTCTCCCAAACCAGTAACCAAACCGAAAATACGGTTTTTCAATTTCTATAAACTGAAACTAAACCATTTTTTCAATTAACCAAAAATTCAGTTCGGTTTAGTTTTTGCATTTTTTTGAACACCCCTAATGTGCACCGTTAGAAGCAACTTTTGCATCCTAGTTTGCTTTCAAAGGATCCTCATCCACTTCTTTCAGAGCCATTTTAAATGATGAAATTGCAGCACTTTCATACTGGGAAACACAGTACTCAGGGGCCGATTTTAAACTGGCCGAAGAGCGTTCCTTTTTAGCCATTGCGTCGATGTACTTTTTGCTGTTTGTGGAATTAGAGACAGCCAACTTTAGAGCGATCTTTTCCAGGCTTTCAGGTTTGACGCGGATGAGGATTCAAGTTCTAATGCAAGAGCAGCTAGGCAATCCTTCTAGCTACAAAAAATGGTGGTCGTTTTGCAAACCCTATTGATGTTCAATGTAGGGATGGCGATTGCTGGGCTGGCGAAGGACATTGTAGAAGTAAGAAGAAAAAGATGGATAATACTTGTGTTATAATGATGATGATCTCCAATGGAGGAGAATTGTGATGGGAAGCCATTAGTTGGTACAAGTTAAGAATGGAGATGAATTGGGTTTGGGTTCATGCATAGTTGCTTAATGTTGCTCAAGTTTAAAGGGCTTATTGGCTTAATCAAGGATTTTTATTTGCTGATGTGTTCAGTTTTGTCTTTAATTTCAAGCAGAATTATTGGCCGAGTAAAAGCAAATATAGAAGTAAAGTTTTGGACTGCATTTAGAAGATTTCTAGAGCATGCAGAATTTTAATTTGATAATTTTCATTAAAACAATTTAAAGGTTTATGACCGATGATTACAAATTAAAAAAATAACAAACAAATAACACTTAAGCATAACAAATTAAAATACACGTATCACAAAACAATAAAACTATATTTACAACTTTTTTATACAATCTTAAGATAACAGCTCATAATTAGTCAGTTTACATTTAGACATATGTGACTCATCAAGATTGTATGAAAAAGTTATAAATGTAATAATGCTCATTTCAAAATTCACAAAAGTTCACGAGAAAGATTTGTACTAACAAAGCAATATGCAAGGTGAGACATTACAACTACAAGTCCCAACCATTATATGCAAGGTGAGACATTACAACTACAAGTCCCAACCATTATATGACAATCCAGAAGATGAGCAAACCTGCATCAACATACAGATGTAGCCTGAAATGCAGTTTCAACCAAACCATAAGTGAGGAAGAGAATTTATATCCGCCGCGGCAAGTTCATAATGCACAAATTTTGAGTCATGAAATTTATTTACACAAAGAATAAAGCCAGCACCAGATACTAAATCCAAGGTAGCATTGTTATTAACAAAATAAAGGGAGAAAAGAATATAATGGTGAAAAACACTATCCCTTTTTGATCTTAAAAAATTACAAACACACATTCCTATTGACTACTTCCCAAAGAAAGAAGGAGGAGCTAGAATTTCCACAAAAGAAGGTAATACAAGCTTTTTACGCCTAGAAGGGGAATCAATTTCACTCCCCAAGGGCTAACTGCTGATTTCTAATCACTGGCGACTTACTTTGAAAAACGAAGGAAAACAGATCCGAGAAATCAAACATCATCCAAGTAATCACACTAAGACCAAGTTAACTACCCATCATTGGCGTGCTTCTTTTGGAGCAGCGTAGCCTCTGCTTTCAGTGACGGTGGAGTTGGCAAGGACGTCCGGTGAAATTTCCCAGCTTCCACTTCTCCTTCCCCAACTTGAGTGCCGAGTGTCTGCTCGAATGGTGGGAGCTCGGATATCTGAACTCATAACATTTTCAACCTCTGAGGCATTATGGGGAGGACCATTGCTACCTCTACTCCGAATGTCCTCGTCTATTTCTTCAATATTACGACGCTGGGAAATCTTCAATAGATCTTCATCAATATCTAAATCATCTTCAACCTTTGAACGTGGATCTCCACCCCCTGCGTCTTCTGCTTCTGGAGTTCGAGGTACAGAATACCTTGGTACCTCTTCTTGAATAAACGCCCGGAAGTTGTTTCTTGAGGGTTTTACCTCTGTGCAAAATACTTCAAGAAAATTATTCACACAACCCCGATGGTAAACATTGATCCTGTTGTCAGCCCTATAGCGAAAATTTTCATATGTAGTCTGAAAACAAGGAGTAAGATTAGCGCAGTTATACCAATGAAAAAAATAATAATTTTAACATAGCATGAATTATGAATTCCAGGAAAGAGAAAAGTTACACCGCTTAAACACTATAAGTTTATAAAAAACATTTGCAAGTACTATATGTCTATATCCATATTGAGTAATGTCAGTCTAGCTAAACCAAACATGTACTCAAAAAACTCAAATTTGTAGCACTTGAAAAGTAGGGATGTCCACTAAACAATGTTTAAATTTTTTTTCTTTCCCCTTGCTACTGCCTACTAGCAAGATTGGAGTCCCTGACAACATACTTCCAGCCATATTATCACTGAAATTCTCCGATTTATTTATTTATATATTCTCAAGGAGGTGGGGGAAAGTGCCAAAGGAGAGAACGCAGTGTGAAGTATTTTCCACCTTTCACAGCCACAATTGAAACATCAGTAGTTAAGGAACTGTTCCATAACCTTTTGGAAAGACCATTTCCTGTTTCGGAATACAGAAAAACAAGTTCGATAGTGCATTTGTAGAATAAAGTTTGAAAAGCAATAAATTTATTTTTCAAAAACCAGTGTTAAGCTTGGAAAAGAATTTGAGTGGTTTTGCGTGTTTTTGATAAAATAGGTTCACAAAAGTACAAAATTCACCTTCTACTCTCTAAAACACTAATATCAAACACAATTCCATTGTTTTATATTAAAAAAAAAAAAAGCATGCCCAAGCACAAACACATCCTCATATCATGAAAATGTAAAATTCAATTTGTCATTTTTATTTAAAGAAAATACAAAAACAGTTATGCAAAACACTATCAAACAGGCCCTAAAAGTTCTGTAATACAGAGGTAAAATATTAAAATCTAGATCATTCAGTAAAACATCCAATCTAAAGAGATCACTCTGCAAAATGCAAGCGCAGGCAAATCTGTTTTAGCAACTGCAATGCATGCACTAATATTCAATGAATTATTGGCAATGGCATTTTGTCTGTACAAACTTAGTAGACCATGACTTGAATCCAATCATAAACAATTTTGCCACAGATCAAGGGGAAGTTAAAGTTCATTTTTCTTAGCAGTAACTGAACTAAACAGTAACCACAAATTACCTCTTACCAAAACATATATAAAAAGGATAATCAACCGACCTGATTTGTGCCAATGAGATACAAATGGAAGCCTGTGAGTCCACCAACAAACCACAGGGAAATGAAACAATAGGCCATTAGTATGACAGATGCAGGAGACTCTTTCATTGCCCTCCAGACTGTGCTATGGTCATCATCCATCAGAATCTTAATGTACAAAGCTGACATGGAGAACACATAGATACAGAGAAGGGTTGATGAAGAAACAAACATGAAGAAGAAACGGTAGTTGCGCTGCATACAAAAATAGCAGTAAGATTCTGTTATATAACCCTCCTTTAAAAAAACAAAAAACAGCCAGCACAACTTTAATCAAGAATATCAAGTCACATAGGCACTCAATTGGCTTGTAAGACAGCATACCAGTCCAATGCATTGGCCCACCCATGGGCAGTGGTGATCAAAACGCTCCACACAATTATTGCAAATGGAGCAATGTGAGCAGCGGGGAGGACGATAAAGCATGCAAGTGTCACAGTACTTCACTCGCACAGGAATACCATTAACCATAACTTCTTTAGTCCGAGGGAACTGAAGGCCAGGAGTTTGTCTTCCCCCGATCTCAACTGAATAGGAATCATAACGGATTTCTTCTTCTGGTGGATGTGAATTACGTGGAATGATACCTGGATCTCGGGCTGACGTGAGAAAAAGAAGAATCAACACCTATCAAAATCAACAACATGATTAAGATCAGATAACACCATACGAAAAGACCAAAAGCTAGACAATATATGATCATGCAAAAAGTAGTTGCAATCAGACATAATGTGATAGCTAGACAAGGTACACAATTGTGAATCAAAATGGGTGGAGATCTTTCAAAAAATTTGATTTAAGCACTCATTTTAAGCATATGCCGCTTGTCAACAACTATTAAAGTCAGTCAAATGCCATCTCAAACTCTAACCAAAAGTACACATCATTTACAAATATTAGGATTATCATATGACTTCTAACCTCAAATGCAACACATTATTTTTTAAAGTAGAACCACAAAATGTCTAAAAGAAGTTCATGTGCAAGTCACATTTCCAGAGAAGGACTTAGATGTTAGACAGTCCCTTTCAATTTTAACCAGTATCGTAAATAAGCCAAATGAAGACTGTTGACAAGTCACAACAGTAAGATTGGCATCCATATTCTGCCACTGTGTTAGAGTGCAAACTATAAAACTCATCAAATAATGGTCAACAACAAAATGCACATAGTCATCCATCACAGATAAACACACTTAGCAACACAATGCTAGATTAAATCCATATAATAAAAAAGAAAATCGAGTACCCAGGGATTTAGAGGACTAACATAGATAGTAAAAACAATTGCTACCACCAGAATCGCATATCCTGCATTGTGTGGTGAAAACTCATGGAGAAGGTGCCTAGCAACAAATACACAAAAGACGACAACTGGAACAATGATCAGCAATAGTGTGACAAGCAATGACCTAGCATCTGGCCCAAATATCAACCTCCCACCAAGGATGAATTTCTGCAAAAGACGGGTAAACAGTAAGATTAAATGCAGAATATCTCAAAGCATAATAAGCCCTTCAAGGATAAAAAAGAAAAATCTTGAAGGACAGTATGCCATCAACGATCAAAATATGCAGCATGTAATTAAAGAGAAACAGATGAAACACCAAATCTGTCATCATGCTCCTTCTACCAGTAAACATTATTCATAAAAATTGCCCTTCACCATATTTAATGTACTAACATAAAATCTTCACAGTCATCAGACACTGATCACAGTTCAAAGGTCTAGATATTGCATCCAAGAAGTAATATGCTATTTGTTAGTTTTCACAACATAAAAAGCATTTACAAATATAACTATGAGGTCTTTATCAGGTAAGATACTATCAATGATTAGAACAACTTAAATTATATAATATATATCAACTTTTAGCGTACACTACCAACTGCCAAAATATGTAGTTTGCATACGGCTTTTATGGAATTTTCCAATATGAAAAATGATAGAACACCAAACAACCAAGTAGGGTCAAGGGAGGGTATCGAGGGAATTACACAGCCTATTACTAAAGTGTACATGAAGAAAAGGAAAGGGGATTAGGAGGCTTGTTGTTGCTGGACTGAAGTTTGTTAGAAAAGAAGATCCACGTGGCACAGGATGAGTAGATTGTTCTGTTGGGACAGCTGGGTATATGATAAGGGTGAATTCTTGTTCAGGTTATCATTGGATTAGTAGTAATGTATTGGGAGGTCCCTAGCTCCTCAATTGCTAGTGTTATCGATTGCTTTTCTTTCATTCTGTTTTTTATTACTTTCTTTGTTTTTATTGTTCTTAGTTCTGGGTTGTTCAAATACGGCAGTCAATCAATACTAAAATACAGAAGTATATTCAGTTACTGTTGCTTGTTTTGTGTGTGTTGTGTATTTTTGGTTGAGATCTTTGGATTCCTATCAAAAAATAACAAAGGTCTCTACAGCACCTGTTATATAGGGACTATATTAAGCAAGATCTCTACTGACTTATTTGTGAAAAAACACAAGAAGGTTCACAAAAGAAAATGAGGAAAGGCTGTAAACAGTATGCTGCAGCTGCAGATACTTCTGTATATTGGGCTATAACTTCTATCAATCTATAAGAAGAAAAACCGCTACAAAGTAAGATAAACTGGTGGAAGTTCAGCAACAGCCCACAAGAACAATTATATAAACATGTTTCATAGAATAACCCTATATACAGCTCCAAAAGAAAAAAAAAATCATCAGATTCTTATTTTGTACAGCCTAATTTAGAGATAAGATGCACTACATGATTACAAATTTTATTAACTGTATTTGTCAACCATGAAAATAAGCCACTGCACAGTCATTCTGCTATGCGAGTTGCAAGTCACATACCTCAATACTAGATGATATTTTGCATTTAAATGCATAACCTTCAAGATATTGCAACATCAACCATAGGAATGTATAAGAAGATTTGATACAAGTTTAAATAGGCTCATTAAATTTCTTTTTCTAGTTGTGTAAATTACAAGTATATACCATTCACAAAATTTTGGCATACATGAAAATATGAAAGGAGTATAAAATTAATCATCATAGGTTTCTAGCTCTAGAATCCCTTGAATAGAATTATCATTTATTTGGCAACACAGAGCAACAACGTTTTTGAAGAAACAAAAAATTAAATAAAATATCATAATCATTTTTTTTATAGAGCAGCAGGCAGTCATGAAAAACAGAGATTCTAGCATCCACATAGAATATAAGATAGCATCAGCTATGAAGGAACCTAGTCACAGATACTTCAGTGGCAAACACAAGTTGAAAATTGGGAAGCTAGCAAGGAGTGTAAAAGTATCAATCCATGTCTAGTTTCAAATCAGATTCACATACTCTTATATGACTACATAGCAAGAGTTGATTAAATAGCTGAAGGAAATTAGAGTGCTTGGCTCACCGCTTCTTCCATTTCTTCATTAGTCCTTTGAAATTCGTGTTACTACCATTACATAACTACAAATGTGCCTCTATTTCCTTTTTTACGGTATCAATTAAAAAACAGGTACAGCGTATACATGATAAAGTTTCAAAACTCTAAGTGGATAAAGTGTCTGTATGCAAGAGAATGTACAAACATCCAAAATATTTTGACCCACCAACTTGGTAGTCTCCTAAAGGGCACAGAATTACCCAGGAACTTCCACTAAAAAGCCTTATTCAACTTGTCATCAACTAGTGTACCTCACACTAACTTATTTGGTAATGGCTAACTATGTAGGTCATGTCATTTGCGGTCTAAGAGTTTGGATACCATGCCATTAAATATCTTTTGAACCTTGACACTAGCTTAATAGAAGTCATTGTACAACCAGTAAGCTTTGTAGAACAATTTAATCTCCAAAAAACAGTGCACAAGGTATTTAAGATGATCTACCCACGCTACTATCAGTCTAATATCAAATTTCTTAACCACCTTGTACAAAATTCACATAAAGATCAATAACATGAAAATAAAGAATTTAATCATATGATCTCAAACAAAACAGAGAAACCCAGTAAACTATCTCTACAAATACTAGCTTACAAAGAAATAAATTAAGCCTGTACCACTAGCAGTTCCAAAACACCAATTTCCAGATTATTTATATTCATCCATCATATTAGGTCCATGAAATAATATATAAGTCTTAAACATTGATCAATTCACTTACACTATCATTCATTGTCTAAACATTGTTTTTCTTCAACCACTCCTACTTTATACAAGCAGTTCGCTTAAAAGTTGTCATACCAAGATTTGACATCTAATGTTCCACACAAATTAGCTCCACTGAGTAAAGCGATTAATCCACCAGTACCCTAATTGCTAAAGGACCAAAATCAAATAATCTGACTGAAAAGGGTTGAAGTGAAATTTTTGCAACTACTTTTTAGTCAACATCTTTCTCATAGAGGAATTTTTCTTAAGCACTGATTCATGATCATTTCTATTAATATCCATCACACTGCACCTTAACAAATTACCCCAGATAGCATTTGCTTGGAAAATGGAAATGCAAATAGGTTCCAATTCCTAACGTTCCCCCTTCTTTGGTTCACCATGTTTGTACTGGCAATGACAGCAGGAACAAAGACAAGCCCACAACTCCCATTTTTATTTCAATTCCATCACAATAGCGGGCCAGTTTTCAACTATTAAACAAAACATAGATTTATAGCATCACATTCCTTACACATCAAAGTAACCCAAAAAAATGGCAACAATCACAAAAGTGACAAACCCTAAATCAGGCAGCCTTGATGACTTTTTCTTCTACAGTATTTGAATATAAAACAAACCTCAACTGCGCTGTTATATATAGATCATTTCACAATACACCATCAACCTCAAGAGAAAATCATTACAGCCATTAATATTTGATTAAAACCATGTGACCCAAGTTCAAAGCAGTGAATGGAACTCACAGTCTGATTCAAAGTTTACACAGCAACCTTTAAAATGCCATTCAGAATCCTACAACAGAGAATAAGAAATACTTCATTCTGATTCAAAAGTTTGAAATAATAATAATACTAATAGTGTGGATAAGTTAGGCCATGTGGCCAACTTCGAGCTTCAATGGCACTCCCTGCCATGCATTCATAAGTTTACTACCTCGTAATCACTCCAGTACACGACTTTGCCACAAAATGGCTACAAGCACCAACAACGGACCTGTGTCATTACCACTAAGGTACAAGCAGCATTTTGATAGAACCTAGCATCACATCACCCAAACTTGTATTATTCCCAACATTTTGTCATCCTTTTGATGCAAAACAATGTTTTCATATGAGCACCACCACTGCCACCAACACCATATCCACAAAAACCCTTACAGCACTACAACTATCATTCAATCCTGAGCCCACATAACATCCCCAAATCCAATCATTGACACAACTGTCGTTCATTTCCAGGCCAAAATTTCAATTTCCATCTCAATCCTGTTTGAATGTATCCTACTCACTCATTTTCACAGTTAAATTTAGAAAAATAACACTCTTGAATAGTCTATGACCCTTGCATCACAAGTATTATTCACAAACACCTCACAATTCATGACATGAACCTTGAAATTTGAGACTTAAGCATGATAGCCCCTTCCCGCTGCCAAATTATCCTCCTATTAACTAAACAACTTGTATTCCTTGTTCAATAAGAACTAAACAAACTTACTAATTTCTAATATACAATTATACATGGCAACTGATTTTAACCCAAACAAACCTCTACTCTATAAATTCCTTTTTTTATCTATTACCATGAAACCGCGAAGATGTACTAGTTGTTCGCTATCTAGTTTATCAATGAGAAATAAAACACAACAGCTGATGCTTTAAAAGCAACCAGTCAAAGTAACTCACAAACTTCAATTTTCTCATTATTTTTCCTCCATTTTCTCAGTAACCAATCCCAAAATCTCAAATCCTATCACTCTATAAACATAAACTGACCTCCAAAGAGAAAACCTAATTCAAACCCAATTCAACAAACCCAAAAAATCCAACTAATTTCATCACAAAACAAAACAAATCAAACCAATAAAACGAATAATCAACACTCGAAACGAATAAAAATCCAAAAACTAGAGAGCATAAAGTAAAGAACTCTTACATTACTGCCCTTCCAGCCCTCGTACACGCGCTTAGCCATTAAACGACAATCTCAAGCTGTCGTTTTGCTTGTTTAACTACTAGCAAGCTTACGGTAGTTGTCGCTGTTGTTCATTTCGATTGTAAATAAACAACGAAAGACTCTAACCCGCCCGCAAAACCCCGTGAATTTACACTCAAATTGAAGGGCAAACTCTAGGGTAAGAGCCCGGTTTCGAAGGAGGGGTTTTTGAAAATAATGAGAGAATGAAAGAGAGGGAGAGATCTTGAAGATGGCGGTTCTGTGTTGGGTTTGTGTTGTGAAGTGAAAAAGAACGAAAAGCACAAAGAAAAGAAATCAGAAATGTTTTTTTTATTTTTTCTGTTTTTAGAAAACAAAAATGAAAATACAAATCGGATTATATAAACAAAACAATGTAAAAGTACACTTTTTCAAAATAAACTTTTTCAAGTGTGAAAAGGGAGAATTTGGATTTTGAAATATGAAACTTTCTAAAAATGCTGAAAATAGTATACAACTTTTGGCTTCGTTTGGTTGGATTTGGGGAATACTACTTTTAGTATTCCCAAATAAGTTAAACAGTAAAATACTCAAAAACTCACAATATTATTCAACTTTATTTAACATTTTTTAAACCCCCTAAATTTGTTAATTCAATTAAATACCCCTAAATATTTTTAATGTTTTTGTTACGACGACTCCGGCCACCCTCCGGCGGTGGTGGCCGGCTGTCCGTATTTGAGGGTGGATTGGGGTGTTTTTGTTAACTTTTAATGTTTTATTATAAGGGGTGTTTTGTAAAAAAACAAACATAGGGGGTATTTTACAATTTGTAAATCCTACATCGTAATACTCGTCCAATTCAACTTTTTTTTAACTTTTTTCAAAAAACTTTTCTCAAAAACACAAAATTGTGAACCAAACGGAGCCTTTATTTTCCATTCCAAGGTCAAATTTGTAAAATTAAACAAAGATTATAATAACATAAATTAGAAAAATTAGGAGAATAATAAAAGACCGCATGGTTAGATGCTTAATTTCAGGGTGGTGTTTTTTTGAAAAATATTTTCTTAAAATTAATGTAATATATTAAATTTATTTATTATTTAAGCGTCTACCATTTTAAAAATTTATTTAATTATAGTCAAAGTTTCTAAAATTATTTTATTTTTAAATTAAATATTTTTTTTTGCAAGGATCATTACTTTATTTTGTAATATAGAAAAAGTCTATTTTTATTTTTTAGTTCAATCAAATACAATTTATAATCATACCAAAGTCAAGAGAGGAACAATATTTATGTTATCTAGTGTTCAACAATATAAGTTATAGACCAAAAGATAATTTAATTACAACAATTAATTTTAAGTTAAAAGTGTAAAATTATGTAACTATATAATTTAAACTAATTACATATTATTTAAAACTATAAAATGTAACGCCCACATTGAGGTACGTAACTTATTTATGCACAAATGCATAGGATGTACATTTTCTTTTCTGTTTTTCTGCTTCTTATTCTGTTTTTCTTTCCTGTCTGTGTTTCTTTCTTCTTTCTTTTCTTTCTATTTTTTCTTTCTTTCTATTCTATTCTTTTCTTTTCTTTTCTTTTCTTTTCTTCTTATTTTTTCTTTCTATTCTTTTCTTTCTTTCTTTCTTATTTTTTGCTGATTAGACTCAATTAAGGCATAGATTCGGAACCCTAGCCTTGTGAGTGAGTATAGTCCTCATCTACATGCACTTCTTACGGACTGTGCAAATTCTTCTTCTTCTTAGGCCGCTCACTAAAGGTCGGGTGCATGTAGGCATATTCTTCTGGGTACAATCATCATCTACATGTACTCTTATAGACTGTACAAATTCTTCTTCTTATTTTTAAGCCGCTCACTGAAGGCGGCGTGTATGTGGGAATATTCTTTTTCTTGTCACTCACGAGTTCCCCATCGTAACAATCTTCTTTTCTCTTATCTTTCTTTTAGAAATTATTATTCAATTTATTTTCTTTTCTTTAGCACTTTTCTTTCTTTCTCCTTATTCTTTAATGTTTTTATATGCATGTATGCATGTAGATAGACTTTCTTATTATTCTTTCTCAATTCAAGAATATGAGCAACGGAGATAGAAGGGTAGTATAGCGGATTTACTTACTAAGCAATTAGTGCTCACTCCGTTAATTTTTCTATTTTTGCAGGAAATAGGTAAGAAGCGATCGGATGGAATGTCGAGAGGCGGAGAGGAATGACACTACTATCCACCGTATTTTGAGATTATATATATGATACTTTTGTTGTTGTAAAGAATTTAGTATATAAAAGTAAAGAAATTTTTGGGCCCACTATCTTCTACTTATATACTTATATGTTTTTATAACATATTTAGTGAATTCATATTATATTTTCCAAAGTATACTATCTAGAAAGAGTTATTACATAAAATTTGTGAAGATAATATTAAGTATTAAGGCTCCGTTTAGTTATTATTCTGATAGTTTTTAGAATAATCTTTTGAAAAAAGTTAAATTGGGTGGGTATTACGATGTAGGATTTGGAAATTAACGAAAATATCCCCTATGTTTGTTTATGTACTAAACACCCCTGCAATAAAATATTAGAAGTTAACAAAAACACTCTCAACCCACCCATTAATTACGGACAGCCGGCCACCACCGCCGGAGGGTGGGTGGAGTGTTTTTGCAATTTCTAAAAAATATATTTGGGGGTGTTTAGTTAAATTAACAAATTTAGGAAGTTTAAACGATATTGAAAAATATAGAATAATATTTTGGGAATAATGACAGCTCTGTTTGGTTCACATTTTTTAGTTTTTGGGAAAAGTTTTTTGAAAAAAGTTAAAAAAAAGTTGAATTGGGTGGGTATTACGATGTAGGATTTACAAATTAATAAAATACCCCCTATGCTTGTTTTTTTACAAAACAGTCCTATAATAAAACATTAAAGGTTAACAAAAACACCGCCAACCCACCCATCAAATACGGACAGTTAGCCACCACCGCCGAAGGGTGGCCGGAGTCGCCATATCAGCGCATGACTGACTGGATCTTGCCGGTCGTGTTCCGATATGGCCTTTTTTGGCCAAATCCACGGTGGATCTGGCCGGCAAATGCCAGATTTACGGCTAGATCTGGCCATTGACGGCCAGATCTAGCTGCATTTGCTCATCAACGACGGCCAAAGATACGACCGTAGTTGATGGTTAACGACGAGCATATGTTGGTCGTCGTTGACATGTGGTTACGACCAGATCTTTGGCCTTAGATCTGGCCTTTTCCGGCCAGATCCACCGTAGATCTAGTCGGAAAAGGCTAGATCGGCGCACTACCGACAAGATCCAGCCGGTAGTGTGCCATCCTACTAGATTCCGGCCAACTTCCGGCAGTTGGCCGGAATCTGGTATAATGTGGGTTTAGGGGTGTTTTTGCAATTTCAAAAAAAAATATTTAGGGGTATTTAATTAAATTAACAAATATAGGGGGTTTAAAAAAAGTTGAATAATATTGGATAATATTGTGAGTTTTTTGGCATTTTACTTTTTAATTTTTTTGGGAATACTAATAATAGTATTCCCAAAAACCAACCAAATGGAGCCGACATTTTACTGTTTAACTTTTTTTGGAATACTATAATAGTATTCCCAAAAGCGAAACAAACAAAGCCTAATATTTCAAATAATTTCGTTTGTATTTGCCACGTAAGCATGAATTTTTGTTGCTATGAGATGGCAAGATCATAGTGGTGGTCATGAATGGAACAGATATTCGTGGTTTCATTTAAATATTTATGAGTATAAACTATTACAAAAATTAATAAAAAATTAAAATTCCAGCCTAGCTTCACTGTTGGATTCTTTGGGATCCCTCTCCGTCTCTCTATTAGGTTCTAAAATAAAGGCTCTGTTTGGTTCAACCTTTAAAAAACTACTGATGATTTTCCCAAAAAAGGTAACAGTGAAATTGGTGTTTGGTTCACGTATCCAGCAAAAAATTCAAAAATATAACTCAGTTTTTTTTACCGTTTTTGTCAAGTCTTTTGTCAAGAACTGTTTCGCTATTATTTTGTCCAACGCCTACTGACATCTTTACTCATCTTCTTCCTTTCATTTACTGCACCCATTCGCTCCAGCTATACACACCCGTGACTTCCTCTTGCTCAGTCCATCAATCAAGCACAAAACACTCCTTTTTTCTTCTATAACAACTGAAACTTTTCTATGTTCTTGCCCCACTCCTACTGAGCTTTTCATTTCACCTTTTTGTCTTCATTTACTCCACCTATTCACCACCAAAGCACAACCGTGAATCCCTTCCCCTCTGTCAGTCCATCAACCAAGCACAAAGCAACCATTTTTCTTCTTCTCCTTCCTCACTGAAAGTTTTAGACTCATAGAACAAAGTTTTAGACTCATAGAAACTCATAGAACAAAGTTTCAAACTCATAGAAACCCAGAGAACACTTTCTCCGATCTCTCCCTCCTTCCGGCAACAAACCAATCTGCAATCATAAACATTTTTCAGATCCAGTTCATCACTCCCGTGAAAGCCTTACTTCTCTCTTGTGTGCTCTCTATCCTCCCGTCAAGAATCGTAAAGGGGTGTCGATTTCCTTTCAGATCCAGACACAACTCAGCTCATATCTCCCATTTCGTCCTCAACACCTCAGATTCGGCGCGCTTTATTGAAAATCTTTCAGTTCTTCTTCTCAGGTTAGTGATCTCTTTGTTTTTTTACCGTATTTTGCCATCTATGTCTCTGTTTCCAATCAGTGATAATCTTTATAAGTTGACCTTTGTTGGGGACTGAACATTGTTTTACCTCACTCTCCACTCTGGTACACCTCAACTTGCAGTTCCAGGTACGCTCTTTGCTGCATTTTACAACGTCCTTTTTTTTTCTTCAAAGTAGTAAAATCCTCAGAAGCAACGGCTCTTACTATACCAACTGATCTCCTTTGTCCTAACACACAGAAACATGATGCACCACTCATTTTCATAGCCATTTTATAATGGAAAAACCGCAGAAGGGTTCTTCTAATTTGTGCAATTTCGAAGCTATTTATGTAAAATATAAATAATGGAGATTAATTGTTTTGCTGAATGAAGAAGTGATGAAATTTAATGTTGAAAGAAAGGGGAAATAAATGGTGGGCTGAGTACTGAGGAGTGACGAGTGAGGAGTGAGTAGTGAGGACTTTACTTGGCCATTAGAAACGACACGTCAGTTCATTATTAAAAGTTTAAATAACATTTTTATAAATAATTTAGGTGTGTAATAAGTTTATAATTCCATTCTAAATGTCAAGTAATATGCAATGTATGGTAAATAGTTTTGATTCCTTGTGTGCATATTTATGTTGTTTGTACTAAATGAGTAGAAATACAATTTTAGATCTTTGGCTGTGAATATATGACAGAAAAAACTGTGTATAAGAAGAGCATTTGTACTTCTATTGGAGTAGTCTTCTCTATTACACTAAGCATATGATTTTTGCTTCTTTTGCCCAAAGGGAGACTGCAGAAACTCGGTGTAAATCTGATATAGGCTCTTTTTTTGGAATTTCTAGGTAGTTAACGTTGCTTTGCTAAAGTTAAGAGTGGTTATGGATTGACAGTAGACAAGGCAAAGCTAATATAATGTGAAGCTGAATAATTGTTCTTATTTCCCTCATCCACATCGGGCATGGTATTACATAAGCTTTGGTGTCAATATCTAATCCATTCTGAATGTCAAGTAATATGCAATGTATGATATATAGTTTTGATTCCTTGTGTGCATATGTATGTTTAAGTAAGCACATGGTTGCTTAATGCCGGTGATAATTTGTCTAATTTATGTATTGATCATTTTATAGGTTGATAATTGCAAGTTCATCGCAATAGCTACTTACAATGCTATGAACAAATGTACATGTCACTCAGCCCACTGGCGTAGAATTGATTATTACTTTTGACTCTAGAGGACATTTCGACATTTATCCGGAATTGGGGTACACAGAAGACCTTGTTGGTCTACCTTGACTGTCGTCTCCCCCGTACTTTCTGTTAAAAGCAGTGTTGGGTCAAACAAGGTAATATTTTCTGTACGTTTTGTTTATAATGTTATATGTTGCATATGTTCATATTGATATGTTTCCTGATTGTTACAATATCTTAATCATGGTTGTTGTTCTCACCCTACTATTATTAGATGAGTGAGTCCGTTCAACGGACTGCTGAACTCACCCATAGGTTTTTAGAACTGTTGGCTGAGTGGGTGAAAACAACCCATGGTACTGCAATTAGAGCTTCTGACCATAGGAGGATTAGTGAACAATTACAAAAGGTAGCGTAGAAGAAACTGGAAGTGCAATAGTTGTCTTCTAAGTACCAATGCTTGCGATCGACATACAGGTCTTAGCGTGCGCTAATAGAACATACGGGGTTTGGTTGGGATCACGAGTCCCAACCTCCAACATGTCCTAAAGAGATATGGGAAGAATATATAAAGGTAAACAACATTTTCTTTTTTCCAATTCTTATAACGCAGTAGTCGATATGCACATTTTTTTTTTCTTCTGGAAATTATAAATTAATGTATGTATGTTTTTCATTAACAGCAAAACCCTGGTGCGCAACAATTCCTACACAAAGGACTTGTTAATAGAGAGTTATATGAGGTCATATTCCAGAAGCAAAATGCAACTGGCAGATTTGCTTACACATCTGCATCTCAACCTACGGCATCCAACATGGGTTTTCCAGATCCTATCGACGCAGACATGAATGTAGATGACTTTGATCCAGATCCAGATAGATTAACTGGGGAAAAACGATCTAACAGGTCTGGAGATAGCAGATCTGTAAATAGGAGAAGGAGAGACAAGGAGGGAAACCCATTATTGGGTGTGATTGGTCAGTTGGCGGAAGCTATTTCTAATAAGACTATGGGATCTGCAGCATCAAATCGTAGTGCCGGTGATAGAACCCAAGAGAACACAAGTGTTAGGACGGATCAATATTCCCTGGAAAATTGTCAGGCAATTTTGGAAAGTAAGCAACTTCCATCGTAACTATATTTGGATGTTGTGAAGTACTTAATTGCCAACCCAAAGTGGCGTTAGCTAATGGTGAACATGTCACCGGAGATAAGGGAATTTTGGGTTTATAATGATTTCCTTAGTATGTAGATGACGGTGTTTGACTTCCTGGTTGAACTTGTAGTTTTCGCTTGTTACTCTTTTTTTATTCCGTTGACATTTGAGATATTTTATATTTACTTTCTTCGTATTATAGACTTAACTTACTTTGTTCTAAGAACCGATACACCATCTGTTGTTGTGCAATGATTCATATATGTTGGATATGGTCAACTGATTTTAAAATTGAATGTTATTTATATTTTGGTTAGTATTAAAAAAGTATGAACTAACGAGCAAATTATTGCAATGGACAGGTTTAGATGGCTTGTCTAGCCATACAAACCATAATGAAGATAATGATAGTTAGAAAGAACAGTTATATATATATATGCTGCAGTCGCATTGTGTGGGGCTATTGCATATGAAATGGAGTTTAGCATGCAAAGACGCCAACCTATACATACATCTTCATTAAATGGTCACGATTATATGGTGGAACTACTAAATGGTCATCATACAAGAATATATAATAAGTGTCGCATGAGCAAACGATGTTTTTAAACCTTATGTTATATATTGGCACAATGAGGCAAACTGCGAGTAACCATACACATGAGTATTGAAGAACAAGTAATGATATTTTTGACAACAGTTGGGAAAAATGCGTCAAATCGTGATTGTAGAGAGGATTACCAACATTCTGGTGAAACAATCTGTGGATATGTCCGTGCAGTTTGTGATGCGATATTGGAGTTGACGTCACACTTTATCAAGCCACCTGACTTCACTGATGTTCAATTGGAGATATCGACCAACCCAAACTTCTACCCATTCTTTAAGGTACTTAATTATTTTTAATTAGTTGATAGTTAAGTTCATTGTTTCACAATTGTTGTTCGTCTTCACATATTACTAAAATGCAATTTTGTCCACAAGACTGTCTTGGAGCGATTGACGGTACACATGTACGTGGGTCGACACTAGTTGAGGTAGCTGATACGTATCGAAATCGTAAAGGGGCATTGTCGCAGAATGTGATGGCCGTCTGTGACTTCAACATGTTGTTCACATATGTCGTCAGTGGCTGGGAAGGATCTGCCCATGACGCAAGGATTCTAAATTCAGTTCTAGATGATCCTAATTCGGGATTCCCACATCCTCCTCCAGGTATAACTAACTTGTTTATGTACTATAGCTACACTGCTAAACTGTAAACATTTTTTTTATGATACTTCAAATTGACATTTAGTATTTCATTATAGGCAAATATTACTTAGTAGATGCGGGTTATGCGAACAGAGGTGGGTTCCTCGCCCCACATAGACGGGTTCCTTATCATGTTCCCAATGCGCGTCGTAACCTTTCTGGACCTATGGAGTTATTTAATTACAAACATGCATCGCTTCGGAATGTTGTGGAGAGGACCTTGGGTGTTTTTAAAAAAAAGTTCCGCATTCTTGATGGCATGAATAATTACCCGTTGCAGAAGCAAGCTAACATTGTTATGACATGTTATGTAATTCATAATTTTATCAAAAGGTTCGATATGAACGACCCTATCTTCCAAAGGTTTAATGGCAATAGAGTTTGTGAGGAAGGAAATGGGACGGGTTCGAATCAACTGACTCAGCGTAATACAGATGACATGGGAAGGGTGAGGGATAACATAACTACTACTATGTGGGCAGAACATGAGTCCAGCTAATATATTGTTAATTGAATATTGGGGTACAAAGAATTTTGAGGGATGATTATTAGTAGCTTTGTATTATTAATTTAGATATGTATTAATGCTACGTTTTTAAATGATATATTAGTAGTCGAAATTATTATGGAGAAATTGATTTTAATTCAGTGATAAAAAATTTACCAAACAACTAATTAATATTATTTAAATGTGAATTGAAAAGTTCAATAATCAAATAATAAAAATTTAAAATAAAATGTATCAAAATATTCTATCTTAAAATCCTTTTTTAAAAAATATATCAAACAATTATTTATTAATTTATTTAACTCAAATATAATATTCAAATAATGAACCAAACACATAGTCAAATGCAAACACTTTTCTATTAAATACAGCTCAATTCAACTCAGCCTAACTTTTTTTCAAAAAACTATTCTAAAAAGTGTAAAATAATGAATCAAATGGAGCCAAAATATTCTTCTTCAACTTTTTTTGTTTTTTATTAACCTTTTCATTAACTAGATATTATCAAAACCTTATTAAATTTTTCATCTCCCTATAGCAAATCTTTTAGTCATTGGGATTAACTATACTCAAGAGTTTGTGTTCAAGTAGCAAAAGAGATATCTACCACATTTATATTTGTGCAATTACCTTAATCCATTAGACTTATAGGATGTTATGTGGTCTTGAGGAGTAGGTAGACTCCAATATGGGTCTAAGTTCTTTTAAAAAAAAAAAAAAATCTTATTAAATTTTGAAAATTTGTTCTTATTATAGTGGAAACTTATTATAGTCAAAAACAATTTTATTAACCTCTCCGTCTCTCTATTGAGTGAATATTCTCAAGGAATATAGGATAATTTTATGTAGCTTGCAGCATCTAATGACCAAAACATCAAGAACAACGGTTTATAATATCCCACTCTCAAGATTTAGCACGAAAATACTTTCTTTATTTTGAAAATCAAACGTTTTTATTATTTAAATGTAACAATTTAAAAGATTAAAAATATATTCATGACATTTTTTTTTTTATCTGTCAAATAGTTGACCATTTTAGTATTTTTATTATCTTGTAAAAAATGGTAAATCGTTTGCCAAAACCCGTCCACTGCTGATTGAGAATGTATTTTTTACCTGCGGTACGGTTACCTTTAACGGACAGAACCTCTATTTTGGGGTGTCTAGTCAGTTTTCCAAAATCGGAGGGGAAAAAAGTTTCTTTATAAAACCTCAAGGGTGGCAATTAATTAACTCTCAAGAATAATTATACGATTGGGCTGTGGTTCAACCCGTAAAAACAAAAGGACCGGGCCAGTCTCGATCCATCTCGGTCACTGGTTCTGTAATCAGTCATCTTCTCAAACTCACTTGCATTTTCTTCAAGTTTTCGCGGCACAAGAGTCGCCGATTCATTCACCGCTCGAACTTCTCAAGCTGGTGCGACGTCGTATTTGGTTCAATGTAAGTATCATCCTTTGCTTTAATGAAATACTTTTTTAATTTTTATGTTTATCTCTTTTCAATAATCTTTATCGACTCTTCACTTGAAGTATTATACAATCTAGGCTGTAAATTTATATTTTATTTTCCAGTTCAATTCTGGTAATAAGTAAACATTCTGAAAATTTCACTGTGGTATCGTTTTGAAACGTGCGTTTCAGAAAGAAATTGAGGAAATAGATTTTGTGTTCTTAAGATTCGAGAATATGCATGATGATAACGTTTTCTTAAAGCAGTATTTTGAAAACATTTTTCTATTGCATTCGTGAAAATATTTTTGATGTTTTCGGTTATATGTGTGAAAGTTGGAAAAAATATATTTTTTTTTTTTCATTTAGTTTTTGAAAATGTTATCGAAATTACTTAGTACCAAACATGTTTTTGCTACTTTTTTGAAATGCAAAAAAGAAATCCCATTTCCTTCGTATTCATTTTCACTGTCTTCAAGAAGTGCATAGGCACCCATTTTAACTTTTTTATGAGCAATTCAATTTGTTTATCCATTCAAAATATGAAAAAGTTTGATGGAATATTATTTCTATCTTCTTACTGCCTTTTTCTTATTCGCAGGTCTATTTTTAATTTTTAATAGTAATACGAAAGTGAGTAAAGATATGGCGATCGTTAACTTATATCTCAGGAATTTGAGTTGTTGCAGTAGCAGATTAAATTCAATGCCATCTTTCCTTTATTTCCCTCGAAATTTCTCTCTTTGGTCAATGAAGAAAGACCCTGATCTTGAATTGGCCCTGTCACGGAATCGTCGATGGATAGTTAATAATCAGATAAAGAACATAATACTTAGATATCCAAACCAGGTTACAACAGTTAAAAATCTTCAGAAGAAGTTCAAGACTCTTGATCTTCAAGGGAAAGCTCTGAATTGGCTTAGGAAATACCCTTGTTGCTTTGAGGTGTATTTGGAGAATGATGAGTACTATTGTCGATTAACAAAGCGAATGATGAATTTGGTCGAAGAGGAGGAGTGTGTGAAAGGCATGCAGGAACCGATATTTGTGGATCGGTTGGTGAAATTGTTAATGATGAGCAGGAACCAGAGGCTTAATGTTGTGAAATTGAATGAGCTTAAGAGAAATTTTGGCTTTCCAGATGATTATATTATTAGGATTCTACCTAAGTACACAGATATATTCCGACTTGTTAATTACACTGGGAGAAAGAGTTCAATGGAGATTGAACTTGTTTCGTGGAAACCTGAGTTAGCAGTTTCAGCAGTTGAAGCCTCAGCTCAAAAGCAGAGTTCTGATTCTAGTTTTTCTTGCTGTTTGCCTTCAACTTGGGTTAAATCACGGGAAAGATTTCTTGAATTCAATTCAACTCCTTATATCTCTCCTTATTCTGACCCTCGAGGTTTACAAGAGGGATCGAAGGAAATGGAGAAGAGGATAGTGGGTTTAGTGCATGAGTTGTTATCTTTGACCTTATGGAAGAAAATGTCAATTGTGAAGCTTGGTCATTTTAAGAGAGAGTTTGGTTTACCTGAGAAATTGAACGTTTTGCTGCTAAAGCACCCTGGCATATTCTACGTTTCAAATAAGTATCAGATATATACTGTTCTTCTTAGAGAAGCATATAATGGGCCAGAACTGGTAGAGAAGGATCCACTTGTTCTTGTGAAGGATAAATTTGGGGAGTTGATGCAGGAGGGACTTCACGAATATAACCGGAGGCACCATTTAGTGAATTTAGAAAAGAAGAGGAAGAGAGGCATGGTTCCAGTAAGATCAGAAGAAATGAAGAATGCAAAATCTGAAATTTCTGAACAAGATGATAGTGGCGATAAGCTGGGAGGTCTATTTGATCCTGAAGAAAGAAAACGATTCTATAAAGTTCTTTTTGATGATGGTCCCCCATAATTTGAAAAATGGTATATATTTTTGTTTTCAGTCTGTTTAGTTTTGTGTTCAAATCTTCACAGTTAACAGAGCTCAATATCATTTCATTCATATCTGTTAAGATATCAGTTTTAGATGCTGCACTATGTATGTTGATATAAACCGAGTTTAAGATCCCTGCATTTTGCACTTCTGACATTAGATGTGGCAGAGACAATTTTTTTTTGAATTATTTTTTTCTGGGATGTAAGAGGTAGACATCAAAATGATAAGCTGGGGTCTCGGTTTCATTTATAGCTGAAGGAACCTACTAAGTCTTTAGAGTGCAAATGTTATGAGCCTGGTGATGATTCTATGTACTGGGGAAAACTCTATTGGCCCTTTTCATCAATCACTTTCCAAAGTTTTTATATTGTGATAGAGCCTGGCTGATTTCACTTCATTATAACAATTTCTGTATTTGGCTCTTTGAAGCTCTATGTTACATGTTTGTGAAGTTGAACTCGGGCTTCGTTCACGTTAATGATCACAAAACAGAGACTTATGACAGCTGCAAACTTAACGGGCACTAAAGTATTCCACTGCAATAATTTGAGTTCTGTAGTTCTTCAAAGAGTGCCCTCTAAAGTTTTGGGAGCATGTACTATAATCGTTTCTGTCTAAATGGTGGATCAATTGCACACAGATGCTGAGTGAATTTTAAGGGGATACATTCCTGAGAAGTGGAGGTAGGACCAATGACTTCATGGTGGCAGATTTTTAAGGTTTTAATTTTAATTGCTTTTCTCAGGACATATTTGATTTTTAAGTTTTGGCCGGCATTTTTAACACTTTTTGCATAACATCAAATCCTGTAGAAATGGTGCCACACAATGGAAATATGTAGTAGCTGGTATTTCAGCTGTAGTTCCTGTACCTGAACTCTTTTAAGTTTGATATTTCATTTTAATGTTGCAGCCCTATAAAAATTCGACACACCTTCCCATTGTTTTACTTGTGTTATTTTTCTTTCCTGTTGCCCTGTATCATTTCATCAACTGTCAGTGTTGTGCTTTAGTTGTCTCTTTTACCTTTTCAGAAAGTTAATCTAGTAGAAAACTAGAGAAGCAATACAAATGATAAACCACACAGAGTTTTGCAAATGCTTTTGTTATAAATTTTCATTAGATTTGGAGAGGGGAAAATTGGTCTCTTTTAGTGTATGGTTTTAGATATATTATGTTAGAAACTTTGCTACTTGTTACAGGCATTTGTTAAAAGAGGATTAAGGTGAAAGAAAGTGGGCACAAGCACCGTGGCCAGTACTTTAACTACTTGTCCTTTATCGGTGAATGTGTAAGACTTCTCTCCATCATATATAAGGTTCATTTAGATTGTTTTGCCTCATTAGCTGAATCCAGAATTGTGATTTGCATGTTGCTCCAAAATTGAAGGTCGGTTAGTGTACCCAGTTTTGTCTCTGATGCTGTTTCTCGGTGATGTGAAAGCTGACGATGCTTAATCGGCTGTTGCAGTTGGATATCTTGGCTTCAAATGTCTCCACTGTACTCCTCTATTTGAAGCACGCATGTGGCTCGCTTTGAAGTTGTTCTTCTGCATTGGTAAAATGTTATGTTTACAAGGATTTTATTAGTGGAAAGGATCGATTTGGTTCTGATCGAGTTGTTTTGAGCAAGCATGAGTGTATGCAAAATGAACTTCAATCAATAAAATTTAGTGATTCTTTGTTAAAGACTGGTGGAATTTGCAGTGCTAGTGGCCAATTTTCTTGAGCATCATTTACTTTTCGTATATTCAGAGTTATGTGGACCTTAATTTTGATATTAATATTATTTTGGTTGATCAAATCAATTTCACTCAACCATTTTGAGAAGTATCTTTCAATAGTAGAAACAATTTAGTACAGTATAATGAAGTAATGAACTTCAATCAATCAAATTTAGTGATTCATTTTAACCCATCTCATTATATCGTTGGACTTGTCATACACATATAATATATATTTTAAAAATTTGCTTTTTAATGAAACCCCTTTTTTCTTTTAAAAAAAAAAAAACATTCTTAGCTGTTCACAGTATACTATATGAATTGCAAATTATAAATAGAGTATCGAGAAAGATAATTCAAACTTTTTTGAGGTTTACTCAAATCATAATCCAGATAAATTTAAAATTGAACAAGCTTCAGTTTAATGTAAACCGTCAATTTTCAGTGCGGACGCCTTCAAGTTGTAATGTTCAAGTGTTGCCAAGCGCAAAATCGAAGGTAGCAACTAGCAATTGGTAGGTCACCGTTTGTCTGCTCATTAAAAACTTCCAAATATTTTTTCATTTATATATATATATATATATATAGAGAGAGAGAGAGAGAGAGAGAGAATTTTTCTCTTTTGAATAATGGCAGACTTAGGGGTGGGGGCCTGGGCGGGTGGGTACCCACCTAAATCCTACGGAATCGAAATTGAAACCAGAATTGGCCCGTTCCTGTTCCTAAAAGCTCGGAATTAGAATCTGGAATATAGGTACTTCCGATACCTATGAAGTTTCGATTACCTCTTATTATTCACAAAAACGATAAATACACCCCAAAAAATTACAAATACACCCCTAAAAGTTTACAAAAATTACAACTCAATCCTGGTTCCTACTCGAGTCTCGGTTTCGATTCTTGTTTTCGGTTCTTGCAGTGGTGGAACAGGAACCGGAACCGCCCAATACCGGTTCTGATTTTTTAGAATTGGAACCGACTTTGTAAGGGTCTGTTCTGAGTAGGAATTGAAACCCTAGGTACTCGTCTGTTTCGGTTCTACCATATTTTTTTACCCACCCCTGGCTAGACATACAAAGAAATCTTAAAAAAAATTATATACAAAGTGATATAACAAAAAATGAATAGAAGAGTGAATACAAAAAGTCAAACTTATCATATTCACTCTTCCTTCCATTTTCTGCCACATCACTTTACGTAGAAATTTTTGTAAGGTTTCTTTGTACGTGTAGTATTACTCTTTTTTATTATAGAGACTTTAAATAGGGAGAAAGACATTTTCCCACCCAAGGTTTGGCGAAATGATGCTTTCCCACCCGTCAAGTTTCAAAATGACACTTTCCGATCCTTCGTCAGGTTCTGTTAGTATTTTCTGTTAATATTTAACTGAAAAGACAAAACTACCCTTAAATAGTTTATTTCTTAATAGCTTCTTGGCTACTCTTTCATAATCTATTAAGATTTTCTATGTTAATTAGTAAAAATGAAAAACATTATATTATGAAAAACATTATAAATTTAGTAGATTATTGAATAATAGTGATGAGATATTAATGACATTATAAATTAATTAATTAATAAATATTAAAGTCATTTAACTTTAAACAATTTTATAGCATTACTCCTCACTTTTTGCTTGGGGTTAACTATTTTTTCTTTTTTAACATTTTAATATCTGACTTTTTGACTGATTAAAAAATAATAAAAATTTATAAAGTCAAATATTTCAGAGTATTTTCATCTTTTTAATCAAATATTAATAAAAAAACATAACAAATCTTGACAAAGAATATCATTTTGAAACTTAACGGGTGAGAAAGTGTCGTTTCGCCAAACTTTGGGTGGAACAATGTCGTTCTCCCCTTTAAACATGAAAAGTTAGATCTTTTAAACTGTTGAAATTTATTTTAATTAAAAATATACACAACATTAGAGTTTTATAGGATTCAACCTTTTCTAATCTTATTTATTACACTTTCTCTCTCCCACATACTCTTTTCATTATTGTTGATGCTGGATTTTGACACCAACTATTCGTACGTGCAAAGTGCTAAATTGACCTAGAAATTACATATGAATAGGAAATAAAATAAATAAATGGGAGATGATTTTTAAAGTGGTTCGTATGCTCAAAGCGAATCCTACGTCTACTATCTTTTTTATAAATGAGAGATTACAATCAGGTCGCGAGTAGCGATCAAAGAATAGAGTTACAGAGAGGGAGAAGGAGTGTTTATGTTATCCGAATCTCGAAAAATAAAAAGGAGCACTCTATTTATAATAAAAGGTTTTTGGGTAATGATAACAAGTATGTAAGCGGGCAGGTGTCGTATAATTCCTACCTTGCTTCCCATTGGCCGATTACACAAAAGATATCCTTAAATCGTGCAGGGCTTGGGCAGGTGGGTGACTCCCAGCCACTCACTAGCCAAATCTTTACCTACCAAGTTGATGACAATCTTACTCCTTCTGTCCTTGGACAATGTGGCAGCGCCTAGGCGGCACAAAGCCTTCTTGAACTCTAATTGGTCCTTACTGACATAAGCTTATATCAACCTTGATTTTTTAGGCATAACAGAAGCCCCCCAGTTCTTAAAGTTCAAGGCTTGAACTTTAAGAACTTCATGATTATACTATGATTTGACTTGTCCTGAGGATCGCTTGCTCGAACTGTAAGTGGAGAACGACTAAAAGAACATGAAGTTCACAATCTAACTTGACAAGCAAACTGAGAGGAGGTCGTAACATGGATCTTTGAGAATTGCACAAGTGACCTGAGGTGATCGTCCCCTAAAGGTTCAGCGACCTAGGTCGGATTTTGCTCAGTGCCATACCAATGTGCTTTGAATTTTACCCATCACTCTTGACTTGAAAACACTTAGAATATTTTCGCTGGACATCGAAAGTCACTTCGCTTCGAGCTCAATACACAGAGAAGAGTGTTTCATTCGAATGAATTCTTCAGATGTTATCTGTTGCGCTTGATAGCTGGCCTGGTCAATAAAGTAAGGTTTAGCTGACAAACTTGTCTTTGCGCAATGAGTGTCATCTATGAGCATTAAATGCAAGTCATGCTGAAACAACATTCTCTTTTAAAGCATTAAATGCGAATGAGGGCGTATTTAATGTGGTGGAGATAACCACGCCGACGTTTGGTGTCTCCAACTGAGGGAGATGTCGATTGATCTCCACGAAGCATGAAAGTTACTCTTCACGAGGATTGGCGACACGTGGTTGCATCCAATGGCCAGGAATGTGTCTCGCCCAAACGTCGCTTACAAATGAAGCCAAAATGTTGCCTTCTTTCCTATAAAACCCTAAGCCCACTTCAAGTTTTTCACAAAACTCGAATCTTCAGAGAGAAAAACAGAGTTTTTGCACTCAAGAAACCAGTTCATTCTTCTTCCAGTTGATGCGCACTCACTGTTACGACATAATGTTTGTCCCCAACAGCCAAGAGGTAAGAAAAACTCTTCCTTTTCTTCTTTTCATTCCTGTTGAAAACTCGGTTTTTTTCACAACAATGGTGGGTTTGAGCGTCTGGTAAACTTACATGATGCACATTCTTGGATAGTGTTCAAAACAAAACACTCATAAGAATTAAAAACCTAGGGCACAAATCCTTGGGAACCCATTCTCAAGGATGTTTAGGGTTTTTAGGGGTTAAGAAAGGATAGTTAGGGTTTCTTTTGCTCTTTCAAGTCATCATATGAAACACTGTGTATGGAGATTGAGTCACCTCTACGTGTTGCACATTTTCAGACTTTAGGAGCAATGAAAGTTTTAGAGATGAAAGCAGTTGAGGGACAAACTCGCAGCCCCCGGGCACCTCCGTAGGTCCCGCATAGGTGGTACTATCAGTAGCCACTGCAGATGAAATTCAAAAGATGGTAGACCAGTTTGTGATCAACGTAAACATCTACCAGCATAGGTTGCACACCGCTCAAGACCTTATAGAGGGAATGGCTGCGATCTCAAAAGCAATCTTCAAATGCGGGGTGACGATACCTTTTCACCCCTTCATTAGATCAATCCTCAACCATTTCGAAGTCGTGCCATTTCAACTGACGCTAAATGCTTATATGATAGTAATTGCTATGTATGTCACATGCTGAGAACACAGATTCGGTGAGTTAACAACATTGGAACTTGTTGGAACTCGCATGCGCTTACTATTTAAAGAAAAGCAAGGACAATGATTCTTTTTACCTCTCGAAGTGATCTACGATCAAGGGAGGGATATTTGGTTACCCCAGTAACATTGCGACTTATGACACCAAACATTTCTTCTTCGAGTACGATGGTGTTTGTAAATTTAGGAAGCCAAGTAGGTTTTTCCCTTTTAATTTTTAAACTGACTATCCTTTCCTTTAACTCTTTTTTGGTAGTTAAGACTAATGGAATTTTTCCTTTTTCGCAGAGAACAAGACGATTAGGTTGTCAGCTCTAGCAGATTTCAACCGTATAGAGGCATTTGGTCGTTTACCTAATTAGAGTCACGATGCAAGACTACTCGTGACCACTGCCAACCTACGAAAGTACGATTTTTTAAACCTCGAGGCATCTTTGGAAGCTCCAGCTTGTAAGCATCTTCGTATCCAGAAGAACTTTTAGCCTTATATCAAATATGACTTTCTTTTGCTAACACATTTTTATGGTGTGTAGCGACCATGCCACCAAGAGTTTCGAAGCCACCGATGAAGGCCGAGGGGTTTGTATTCCCTCGGGTCAACCTGACCAAGTTAGCCGAAACGACCCCCGATGTCGTCCCCATATGAGGGATACAGATTGGCACCGAAAGACGACCATTTACGGAGTGATGCGAAGAAGCTCCTTACCCGTGGCTACTTGTGCCACGAAACAGAAGACCATGGGCTAGAAGACCAAGAAAAGGAAACAACTGACCACCAAGGAGAAAACGGAGTCGGAACCAAAGGGCCTTGGGGTGCTATCGGAGAGAACTCAACCCT